TTCCCTCTCTCCTTCTTTCTAGTGAGCACATTCCCCTCTAGCAAATTAGAAAAACAAACAACAATAACTACTTATTATATAAAAGTCATTAAATTATATTCTTTATTTTTGGGGGGAGAGGTTTTTGCTATAGGGCACTTGCATTCACCAGAAAGACAGAGAGACAAAAAGCAAGAAATCACCCCCAAGGGGGGATGGCCATGCCGCAATCCCTTCTCCTTTGTTCTCCTCTCGGGATCTTGGGCACACACGCACACGTGCCTGGTGTAAGTTTAAGCCACCGAGTCTGGAACTCGAACCGCGGTCAACTACATGGGAGTCCCGTGACATAGCTATTACGCCAACTGCTGGTCTTATTAAATTATATTCTTAAATGCAAGTCACTACATTAAAAAGTTAGTAATAAAAACTGTTTAACCTTGACTCTCTCTCCCTAAAATTACCTTAAGCCTAGAATGAAGTCAGTTTAGAGAAATTATGACTGTGTCAGTGGTTGAAATATTTAGGGGGAAATGGAAGGCATGGCCAGGACTTTACTAAGCCAGAGCTCACCCTTGACATTTCACTCCCAAAACTCAGTGCATGTGATTTGGTAAGTGGTTTTGGTTCTGCTTCTGGAAGATGAGTGGATGGAAGTCTGAGAGGTGATAGCTACAGTACTGCGCTAGGTGTCTGCTTGCCCATCTCACTAACACACAATCCTTACGAGGAGGTGCTGGATGGGAGGAGGGGTGTGGAGGTAAAACATGAGCTCTACAAAGCCGACCTTATCCAAAGACCCAAGTACACGGAGCACACGTGCACCCATGGTCTGGGGATGGCTGAGGTTGGCAGCGGACTTGGCATTGAGATCCTGTAAGGGTTTCTCTCTCTCTCTCTCTCTCAGAAGAAATAGACAAATAAACTTAAAAACCAAAACCAAAAACAAACCCTTTAAGAAAGGGATCCTATTCTTATTCCTATTTGCTGATGAGGAGACCAAAGCTTAGAGGTATTAACTAATTTGCCCAAAGGTACACAGTGAGTATAATTTAGAATTGGGAATATTGGAATTTAGGTTTATGAACACAATGAGCAGAATATTTTAAATTAGGACTGGCAATCTAAGAGATATTGCAGTCTACCAGTGTAAGACAGCCATTTTTTGTTTGCTTGTTTTTGGTTAGAGGTTTTTGCCATAAGGCACGTGTGCTTTCCAGAGAGAGAGACAATGAGAGGGAAAGTGAGAAATCACTCCCCTGGGAGGATGGCCATGCTGCAATCCCCTTTCCATTCCCCTCCCAGGGTCTTGGGAATGCAAGAATACGCACCCGCCATGATTTTCAAGCCACCAGGTCCAGGACTTGAGCCATGGTCAGAAGAAATAGACAAATAAACTTAAAAACCAAAACCAAAAACAAACCCTTTAAGAAAGGGATCCTATTCTTATTCCTATTTGCTGATGAGGAGACCAAAGCTTAGAGGTATTAACTAATTTGCCCAAAGGTACACAGTGAGTATAATTTAGAATTGGGAATATTGGAATTTAGGTTTATGAACACAATGAGCAGAATATTTTAAATTAGGACTGGCAATCTAAGAGATATTGCAGTCTACCAGTGTAAGACAGCCATTTTTTGTTTGCTTGTTTTTGGTTAGAGGTTTTTGCCATAAGGCACGTGTGCTTTCCAGAGAGAGAGACAATGAGAGGGAAAGTGAGAAATCACTCCCCTGGGAGGATGGCCATGCTGCAATCCCCTTTCCATTCCCCTCCCAGGGTCTTGGGAATGCAAGAATACGCACCCGCCATGATTTTCAAGCCACCAGGTCCAGGACTTGAGCCATGGTCAGCCATGTGGGAGTCCAACGACATAACCATTACGCCATCTCCTGGTCCCGAGACAGCCTTATTTATGTATTTATTTATTTATTTTTGAGAGAGATTTTTGCTGTCAAGCATGGGTGCTTGCCTGAGAGACAGAAAGACAGAGTGAGAAACCACCCCCCAGGGGTGAAGGCCATGCCACAATCCTGTCTCCTTCTTTCTCCTCTCGGGATTTTGAGCACCCGGAATGAATTTTAAGCCTCCAGATCTGGGGTTCGAACATCATAGGAGTCCAGCAGTGTAAACATTATGCCTCCAACTGGTCCCGAGACAGCCATTTTAAAGAAGGGGTGGGATTACAAAATCCTTCTGCCAATCCCAAGGACATATGTACAGAGACACAAATCCTTTCCTGATCACAGGGTGCATTTGCTAGGTCGAGGCCCTGCCAGTTTCCTAGGTGGGCCATGGCAAATGTTACCTGGCTTAGCACCAGAACTCTATAATAAGGGCAGCTGAAAAATCCCATCCAGCAGAAGAGAGGTGGAAGATTGTCATATGGGCTTCATAGGCCAGAAAGGGTGGTTTCTTTTTCTTTTCTATTGATTGCAAATGAACAATAAGTTGGTATAAGGTTCAGAAATTTTCCCTCCCTTGCAGTGTTTGGAGTTGCCTTTGGCACTGAAGCTATCTTCTTACGGACTGTCCATTATACTCCTCATTCCTCTGAACCACTCCTCAGGCATAGAGGGGTCTTTCTTCAGAAGTTCACACTTGCAGAGAGTCCAGGGGCCTAGGCAGGGGCACGAGAAGAAAGGCCTATTGTGCTATGTGCCAGCCTATGGGGATCATCACGTGCCAGGCTCAGGCTGTCCCAGGCAGGTGCTGCTGCTGCTGGACTTTAAACATCCAGAGCAAGACCTGGCAAGGACAGCAAGTGCCACAAGGGGGAGCGCTCAGAGTACGAACAAGCCTGAAGCCAGTGGAAAGCGGGCAATTTCTGTGACTAGAACGTAACTCACCGGGAAACTGGATTTGTTGTTCAGTCATATGTTGCGTATGTTCTGAGAAGTGCGTCATTTGGTGATTTTGTCATTGTGCTAATATCACAGAGTGAACTTGAACAAGGCTAAATGGTATAACCTAGGCTATATGGTGTAATCTTACAGGACCACTGTCCTGTATGCAGCTGTCATGGACCAAAACATTATTATGCAACTTAACGACTATACGACAATTTCCTGCAATGTTAAAAAAGACACAATTAAAGGCAGCATAAATGAAAAATAAAACGTGTCAGCTTCGGGGCCAGCAGATGGTATGGTGGTTAAGGTGCTGGATCTCACACAGCCAACTCCACAGATTGAATCTCTGACCTGGTAGCTTGAAAAACATGCTGGGCACATGTACATGTGGGACCAAAGTCCTGAGAGGAAAATGGAGAAGGGATTGCGACATGGCCAACCCCCAACCTCTGGGGTGATGTCTCACTTTTGCTTTCTATTTCTCTCTGCCGAGCACACCAACCCGGTAGGAAAAAGAAAACTAAAAAAAAAGAAAAAGCGTCAGCTTTATAAGTCTTAAAGTCCACCTCCCACATCCCTCTTGGACTAGACTTGAAGACAGATTGAATAGGTACATCACAGGAGTTTCTCCCGTTGGGGATGGCGTTGTTGCTTTATCCACATGTAGCATGATTTCTGTCATGTAGCACTCAATAAATATTTGTTTAATGACTGACTGAACAGATGAGTAAGATTTACACAGCCTTCCATAGAGATCAATCAGTGCTCTTTTCTTAATCAAGTAGGAGCAGATCTGTCAGCTGCTAGGGGCCTGAAGGAGAAAGCTGAAGTAGTTTAGAATACAATGCTCATTTTTTAGAGTGAATTCAACTGAAATACCTATAGAATCATGAAATGGAATTAGAACTTATGTTCCTATTTTTAATTAGGAGGCCCTGAAACTTATGAATGAAGTTCAAGAACATCTGGACGAAGAAGAGAAGCTGTGCCAGGCCTCTTCGGCAGATGCCTGGGACAAATGCAGTTCTTGCCTGCAAAGTAAATGCATGAGGTTTTATACAAGCTGCCAACCTCGTTGGTCCTCTATGAAAAATACGGTAAGAGAAAAATAGAGTTCAAGAGTTCAGAGTTCACAAGGCCCCTACTTCAGCTTGCTTTTCTATTAATTTCTATTAATTGCACTTAGAATAGAAATGCCTGACCTGATGCTGACCTTTTGCCATCTAGAATCTAACACTAATGCTTATATACTATCACCTATGTACGTATGCGCAGTTTATAAGTTAGCACATCCCTCCTTTCAATGGCATGTATTATGTATCTCTCTTGGAAACACCATGACTCCTTTTGCCTTGGTTTGTCATTTGTGAACATGTTCCCAATAGATTGTAAGCTCTCTGAGGGCAGGCAACACATCTCGTTTATCTTTATTTGAGCATTGTAGGCATCCAGTAAATATTTGTTAAACCGCATTCTGAATCATAGTATCATAGTCTCTGACTTAAATCTGCTTTAACTTTTTCCCCCTGGAGACCAAATATTTGAAGATATTCTTTGCCTCCTGAATCTCTCCATCAGTCTCTGCCCCTTACATGCAGCACGTATGCATACACACATATGTGCGTACGCATACACATCACCTTCACGTCTCCTTTTGCCCTATCTGTGAGGGTCATATAGGATTTGCACACTTCCTTTTTTGTCCCCTTTGGCTATCTTCTGGGCAGAGGGACTCACAGAGGGGGGTGACCTGAATAGGATGAGCTCTGTCCCACATTCTGTTGGCCTGAATTTCCCTCCCCTTCAAGAAGTGAGCTGAATATGAAATCGAGTGGAATTTCACTCTCCATAGAAGAGCACTCACTGATTAGAGCATGCTCCTGGCTTGGCAGTGTCGTTCTCGATGACAAAGGGAGCAACCCTTAGGATAATGAATGTGCCAAGTTAATTTGCCTCCACTGTTAATTGCATCTGCTCTATTTTTAGAGTCACTGTCTCTTTCTAACACACCGGAATATGGTAGAAGGAACACCAGCTGAAAGTCAGGATATTTGGGGACCATTCTTATTTGGACCAGTTGTGTGACTTTAGAAAAAATTTTTAGGGGTTTAAAATTGGTGTGTGTGTGTGTGTGTGTAATTTTAGGGGTTTAAAATTGGTGTGTGTGTGTTTGTAGTGAAGTAAACATAAACTGACTGAGGGGGAGGCAGACAATTTACCCAGATTACTTTCTGAGAAAGGCACTAGTCCTCTAAAAATTACCGGAGAATTCTTTGGACAGCACAGTGATGATGCTACAGCAGTGATGTTCAATAGTCGATAACACTTACCACATCCATTATTGCTATCATGTAAGGGCTACTCTGGTCTGCTCAGACTCAGGCATTACACAGATGATGTAGCATATTGTGTAACCACTGAAAAATCTTATCCCACTGAGTTATTCCCCACATTCAACAATTAATGTTTCTTTTCTTTCTTTCTTTTTTCTTTCTTTCTTTTTTTTTTTTTTTTTAACTATAGTCAAGGAAGGCTTTGATCATTGCTAGTATATAACCATCCTTAAGTAACCTACTAAGCTGCATTGGACATCGCTAGTTCAGCGGAGATGGGTTGATCTGTTTCTTTCCTAGATTAATTTATGAGATGAGAAAGGGGGAGTATAAAGACACTAATGGAATTCTACTAAGGAATTAAAAAAAAGGAACTAAGAGATGAAAGACAAAAGCCTTCTTCACAGTAATCAAGGAATCTCTCTGGTGCCCTATAGGCAATAGCTTGCCAACAGCCACCTGTACACTAGACTGTAGTTGTTGACAATATTGGATATTTGACCTTTTAGGTCATCAGTAGACAAATGTAAACCAGAAGGAATTTCAGATCAAATTTTCACAAAGTCAAAACCACATATGAAATGTTAATAGAGTATCTCAAAGTTAATCACCTTTTCTTACCCAAAACCATTCTTGATTTGGAATGACTTGTGTAAGTTGACTTTGAATTTGAAATAAGAAAGAATCCAGAAAGAAAATAACTTTTTATTCTATTTCTGTCCTCCACCCCACCCCACAGATGGAACAGTATTTCAGAAAGATATACCAATTTTTGTTTCCTTTCCATGAAGATAGTGAAAAAGATCTCCTTGTCAGTGAAAAGCTCGCTGAAGAAGATGCACAACTGACTCAAATGGAGGATGTATTCAGCCAGTTGACTATGGATGTGAAATCTCTCTTTAACAGGAGTTTTAATGTCTTCAAACAGATGCAGCAAGAATTTGATCAAAATTTTCAGTTATATTTCATGTCAGATACAGACTTAACAGAACCTTACTTTTTTCCAGCTTCATCCAAAGAGCCAACAAAAAAAATAGATTTTGTGCAAAGCTGGGACATTCCCAACTTTTTCCAGCTGTTTTGCAATTTCAGTCTGTCTGTATATGAAAGTGTCAGTGAAACAATTACTGAGACGCTAAATGCAATCAAGGATTTACCAAAAGAAGACAAAGGCAAGTACTAAAGGATTACTTTTACTTGAATGTCTAGTTTTGTTTAGCTTCGGAAATGTTGAGAGTCATTGTACATAATTTCTCGAAGTGACAATTTATGAATAACCAAAGTTTCAGAGCCACTTAAATGAAGCTTTGAAGTCTGCCAACCACCATCCCTCTTTTATCATTGTTGAGAACTCGTGGAGCAAATTTTCAAAACTGAAACACGAAAATGCAAATGGGATGAGAACTTGAAAATAATCGTTGCCTCCTTTACTTACTAAAACTCATGTAGATGCTTAGTTTTCACTCTGCTTTAACATCATGGAGTTTCTTTAAAGTCAGTCTAGGGTTTTGACTCTCAGTTTCTAAAGAAGCCTTGTCTCAGGTCAAATTTAGAGCCCTCTACAATCTCCTCTCAATCACTACTATAATTCCTTAAATTATAACATTTGTGTACCAAACTATAGAAAATATTCACAGACAAACCCAACACTATGGAAATAGAAATTGGGAAAGAATTGTTTTCTATCAATATTAATTATTATATATTAATTATATCAATTAATATATTATCTTATATTATTATATATTAATTATTGGTAGAAAGCATGTTCTTTTTTCCCATGTTCCATGTTGGAAAAATAATGCTGTTTTATGTTTAAGGCAGGGGATATCTTCTTCAGGCTTCTGTGGAATATCCTGAACAAAGCATTTTAGAAATGAAAGCTCTCATGTGGGCCAAGTATAGAATTTGTGTTTTCTTGAGCTTATCTGTTATTAATCACTAAGCCAAGTAAAGGCCTGCTCGTCTAGAGATAAAAATTAAAATGGGCTTCTTCTAGATGACTGTTTTCCCATTATATCAGCTGGAACTGACGACATCTGAATCAGATTCTCAAACCTGGCAAGACATTGCATAACCGGCCTCTAGAGAGGAATGGCTTAACTCACACATTTTAGAGCCCGAAGCCAGAAAACAATGCATTACATCCTTCCAGTCCCTTTGTTCCATGAGCAGAGGCCAACCATCATTACGGGAACTGCTGGGCTATAGTTCAGAGTCTGGTGGATTTTTCTTGTAAGTCAGGTGTTTTTTTCTGGTATTCCATTGTGAATTTCCTCATTTACCAAATATTTAGACGCCTTGGGGCAATGGACTAAATATATCGATGCTGGGGTGATATTTAATTATTTAATAATTTTTGCCTGAACTTTTAAATAGATATCAGTTGTTGTGGAATACTATTCAGAATGTGTTCATTAGAACAAAATGAGCTCCTCCTTCCTAATGTATAGCAACTTCGCATGTGAGTTGCTACATTCAAATGTGCACAAACTAGTTAGGATTCAGACGTGTCAAAATCTAAATAATTTCCCAACCACTGTAACTCCCTCCCATCTTACCAAGAACATGGTTTTCCACTGTCTGCTCAGGTTCCTTCTCATTCACACCTAGAAACTAGTGTCTACTCTCAGCTGACTCTACCACTGTCTCTACCATCTCCATATTATTTGATAACCTGGTCCAAGTTCCCTATGAATGGAAATATTAAAAACAAAAACAAAAACAAGTAAGAAAGTCTATTTTATGCTATTATAGTCTTCTTTCCTCAGTATCCACTCCCTTGTATGCAGCAAGCTTGGCAGGACATAATTTCTTCCCAGCAGAGCAAATGTGGACGATTTATCAACAGTTAGGCAAGACTGGAGGGTATCTGTATGTGGTTTCTGTTGCGTTTCTGGACAAGTGGTTGGTGAGGAATTAAGCCTATTGCCACTAGAAAATCTACCTAATTAATTGACATTTTGAATTTTTCCCTTATAATAGAATAATGGCTCTTCAAATATACCCAAACCCGAGTTCCCAGCTCCTGTGAATTTATGATGTTACATAGCAAAATGGAAAGTAAGGTTGCGGAAGTATATAGGGTGTTAATCCACTGACTTTTTTTTTTAATTGCTGGAGGGTGTGTACTCTCACCAGAGAGAGACAGAGAGACAGTGGGAGGGGGAGAAAGCACTCTTCAGTGGGGTGTGGTCATATTGCAATCCCTTCTCCATTTCTCCATTCTGTGGGGATTTGGGGGACATAGGCACATGTGCCCAGAGTGTTTTCCAACCACAGGACCAGGATTCAAACTATAGGTCAGCTATAAGGATTCCACTCCCTTAACCACAGGCTATAGCGCTGGCCTCTCCACTGACTTTGAAATTGGATTGTTGAGTGAATTTAATGTAATCAAAAGGATCTTTAAAAGTGGAAGAAGGGGGACTAACAGTTAGTGTAATGGCTATGTCGCTGGGCTCCCATGTAGTCGACCACAGTTCGAGTCCCAGACCCAGTGGCTTAAACTCACGCTGGGCATGTGTGCGTGCATGCCCAAGATCACAAGAGGAGAATGGAAGAGAAGTGATTGCGGTGTGACCATCCCCCCTGGGAGTGATTTCTTGCTTTCTATCTCTCTGTCTCTCTCCGTCTTTCTGGTAAGCACACATGCCCTATAGCAAAAACCTCTCCAAAAAAAAAAAGAAAGAAAGAAAGAAAGAAAGAGAGAGAGAGAGAGAGAGAGAGAGAGAAAGAAAGAAAGAAAGAAAGAAAGAAAGAAAGAAAGAAAGAAAGAAAGAAAGAAAGAGGGAGAGAGAAAAGAAAAGAAAAGAAAAGAAAAGAAAAGAAAAGAAAAGAAAAGAAAAGAAAAGAAAAGAAAAGAAAAGAAAAGAGGAAGAAGGCAGAAGAAAAGAATCAATAGAGATGGAAGCAGAAAGACTTGGCCCTACTTTGCTGACTTTCAAAATAAAGGGAGGGGATGGTGAGCCAAAGGAATGTAGGTGGTCTCTTGAAGCTGGAAATGGATGGAGCCTCCACAAAACCAGCCCTGCCAAACCTTTATTTTATCCCACTTTAGACTTCTAATCCAGAAGACAAGAAAATAAAGAGTTTGTGTTGTTTCAAGGTACTTCTGGGTTGTTGGAAAATCATGATGCATTTTTGCATAGGAAAACATGGAGAAAGTACATCATGATTTTTCTGACTACCCAATACATTTCCAGAAATCTGTTAGTGCAATAATAGGAAGTTAATACATACCTCTTGTCATTGACAAGGCCAACATTTGCTGAGCCAGTTCTTTGTCTGTCAACCTTCATGGATCGGCTTATTGGTCCTGATTGGCCTAAGAGCCAAAATTAGAAATATAGTTAAAATAGAATAATGAAAAACATTAAAAGGAGAAAGGAAATAATTTTAAGATCTGAGATATGTTGGCATTTAATATTATTTATTTTATTGAATGTGGCTTCATATTAGTCTTCATATAGAAGAATTCCTTTCCTATCTTAATCTTTTTAGACATCAATTCCTAAATCTGTTGAAAGAACAGATTGTCCTTGTGATTGTCCTGTCATAAATCTCTAAATAGAACAGATGAGTCTGTGTTCTATGGCAGCTTGAAACAGTGCTAGATGCCAGGTGATCTGGTTCTAATCCTGCTTTAGAGAGTGTTTGCTGACCTTAATTTTCCTCTGGAAGAAACAGAGAGGCAAGAGGGGTTCCTAGAAGTTTGATATCGGTGGTAACACTGCAAGTAACTGCCTAGAACAGTTCTAAGGTTCCACTATGGCTTGGCTGAGTGAGGTGATGGACTATACCATGGGTGCAAGATGGAGAACTGGTGTCATATGAACATGGACTTTGCCACCCCCATCTGTGTACCATGTATTAATCTATTTGCTGAGAATAAAATAATAATTATGACACCACTTGCGATTTCTAGAAACTCAATCCAGAGAAAGAAAAAGAGACAGATTAGTAGACAGTCACATTACCATGTAATAAGTGAAATGGTAGAAGAAGGTACAGAAGAAAGGCAAGGTTAAAATGACAAGACCAAGTCCCTTCTCTCTTTTTTTTTAAAAAAATTATTTATTTTATTTTATTTATTCATTCATTTATTTTAATTTGACCAGAGAAAGACAGAGAGTGAGAGAGAAAGGGAGAAAGCAAGCTACCAGGTCCAGGACTGGAACTGTGGTCAGCCATGTGGGAGTGTCCAGCACCTTAGCTACCACACCACCTGCTGGTCCCCCCCAAGTTCCTTCTCTTAAGAGATTCAGAGTCTAATGAGGAAGATAAAAACTTAAACACTCCATAAAGCCAGGATAAAGTCTATAGTAGGTGGCTTCCAGGGGTTCCGTGGGCAGAGAGAAGGGGCCAAGAAGGCAACTGGGAGGAAATGACTGTCTAGGTACCAAAAGAATGGTCATCTCAACACCATTTAACCTAACAATGCTGTGTTATTTTTTTCCAAGTTGTTTGTTTTATTTACATTTCATCATACCAAAGAAATCTTCCCAGGATGAATACATTGCATATTAATCCACTCAAAGATATTACCATACACGTCTTCCTTAACACATAATTTAACACTTTTGTGTCTGCTAAATGTTTTGCTTTTCTTTTTTTCCCTGATTCCCTCTCTCCTACCCACCACTGCCCACTCTCCTCTCACACTATCTCTAGTATCCACAGTTGCTCTCCATGCCTTTATACCTTCCAACTTTTCAGTTTCTGTTACAAAGTGCAGACATTCAGTTTATATTAAGTGGGGACATACAATGCTTCTCTTCTATAGTCTGAATGCTATGTTGTTTTTAAACATAAACTTAATAGTTTATCTTGAAATTAAAAGTTTCATTTTTAAATCTTGAGATTTAATGTAACTGAAAACTATAAGTTAATAATAATATTATAAGTTAATAATAATATTCTATTAGGAATCATCAATTTTCTGTTGGATAAACTTTTCTTTTATGTTGATATTTTTGTATAGATTGCTAACTTTCCTGGAAAAAAATGTTTTTTGAAATCTGATCAGTTTTAGGTATTTTTCTAAATCTTTGATCTACTGTTAATAATATATAAATATGAAATGCAAAAAATAATAATAAAGTAAATATCTACTACCCAGTTTAAGAAACAGACATTTCCAGTCCCTTTTGAATGCTATGAACTTCCCAATTCTAGCCTCTTTTTTTTTTTGGAGAGGTTTTTACTATAGGGTGCGTACGCTCACCAGAAAGAGAGAGAGAGAAAGACAGAGAGGCAGAAAGCAAGAAATCACCCCTGAGGGGGTGACCACGCTGCAATCCCTTCTCCTCCATTCTCCTCTCGGGATCTGGGGCATGCATGCATGTGCACCCGGTGTGAGTTTAAGTCACCGAGTCTGGGACTCAAACCATGGTCAGCTACATGGGAGTCCAGTGACGTAGCCACTACGCTATCTGCTGTCCTAGCTCTTTTTTTTTTTTTTTAAGAGATTTTTGCTATAGGGTGCATGTGCTTGCCAGAGAGATAGAAAAGTAAGAAATCATCCCCTTGGGAGGATGGTCATGCTGCAATCCCTTCTCCTTTATTCTCTTAGGATTTTGGGCATGTACACACACACACATGCCTCACTTGAGTTTCAAGCCACTGGGTCCAGGACTCGAATTGTGGTCGACTGCATGGGAGTCCAATACCTTAACCACTATGCCACCTGCTGATGGTCCCCCAATTCTAGCTTTAAAAAAATGAAAATAATTGGATTTTTAAAAATTTGCCAGAGGGCCCTCAAATTTGTCAGAAAGAGACACACACACACACACAGAATGATAAAGCGCTGACCCCCATGGGGAATGGTTACACTGTAATCCTTTCTTCTCCATTTTTCCTTTTGGAATGTTGGGCATGCACAAACACATGCCCAACATGTTTTTCAAGCCACCATATCTGGGACTTGAACTGCACAGTTGGACATGTGAGATCTAGCTTTCTTAACCATCATGCCATGAGCTGGCCCCTAGGGGGTTTTTTGGTTTTTTTTTTTTTTTTTTGAGAGGTTTTTGCTATAGGGCGCGCGCGCTTGCCAGACAGGGAGAGACATAGAGACAGAAAGTGAGAAATCACCCCCCAGGGAGGATGGTCATGCCACAATCCCTTCTCCTCCATTCTCCTCTCGGGATCTTGGGCACGCAGCACACGTGCCCGGCGTGAGTTTTAAGCCACCAGGTCCAGGATGCAAACCGCGGTCGACTACGTGGGAGTCCAGCGACATAGCCATTACGCTAACTGCTAGTTCCCTAGAGGTTTTTTGTTTTTTTTTTATAATAAAGAGAAATAGGACAAAAAATATATAAGTGGCTCACAATCACCTATTTACTTACCCCAATTGACATCAGAAATAATACTATTAATAATAAGATTTCCTAACTCCAAAAAGTTCAAACATACAAAGGAACACAATAAATGAAAGCTTTCTTACACTCCAAGTCTCTCTACTGCAAGATGGTTATTATTAATAATTCCTCATGATTCCTTTTAGAAAATAAAATTACATGCATTAATGTGTTTGCGTGTACATACTAACAATATATTTCTAATAACAAGATTCCTGGACTTCAGGGTGTGTGCAATTTTTAGATGTCAGATTGTTCTAGCATTGATTGTACCACCATGCACTCCAGTGTTTGAGTACAGAAAAAATATCTGAAAGCACTGGTAAGAAAAAGCAATGACATTGTTTTCATTCTTTAAGGTATAAACTCCAGTGATGCTAATGTGTGAACGTTGCATTCTCCACAGACCCGAATCACGGAAGCCTGATTTCAAAGATCTTACCTGTATGGGACAAAGAACTGTGTGGAGAACTTGGCCAGAATAGGTCAGAATGTTTTGAATTTCATGAAAAATGCCAAAAATGTCAGGATTACCTATCTGAAGGTAAATAATTATTTCCTCAGCGTTTCAATAGTATTCATTCTGGTCAGAGGTTGAAATATCACTTTTATAAAATTGGTAGATTTGTTTGCTTTCCTGCAAGCAATTTTTACACGTGCTCACTTCTGTTTAGTGGGGGCACCCACTATAAGTTTCTTCATTTTAAAAGTATGTCAACTTGTCCTTTTGCTTTAATTCCCTCATTTTTACTGTGAAATTTCTATGATTAAACATCAAACACTGGTAGATACTAAACAGAAAAACAATGAGCAAACTAGGGCAGCTCCTTTCTTCTTACTGCAAAGAAAAGGAAAACCCACCAATGAAGGAAACCTCCCATTGTGTAAATTAATTTTTAGCCCTGTGAGACATCTCTTTGTAAAATGGCATTAGCTTTTTCCAGGTGGTGAGTTAATTAACTAATTAGTAGTTTTAAAGTTTATTTATTTATTTATTCAGGGAGCAAGAGAGAAAGAGAAAGGAGAGAGAAGAAAGCACTCCCAATAGGACCTCCACACAGCAATCCATCTCCAACCCCAGCCATCCTCATGGTCATGGGTGCATCCTCCCAGATCAGGCCAAGCAGAAAATCCTTCCTTCTTTCCTCCATCCCTCTCTGATCCCCCTCTCTTTTCCCCAAATAAAGTCAATAGTTCCACCCTGCCAGGGCCAGATCACAAATTTTCCTACAAAAATATAAGGGGGGGGGGAGGGCAGCAGGAAGTGTAGTGGAGAAAGGTGCTGGATTCCCACATGGCCAACTGTGGTTTGAGTCCCAGACCTGGCAACTTGTTTTCTCACTTTCCCTTTCTCTCTCTCTGGTCAAATTTAATAATAATAATAATAACAAATGGAATTAAATAAATAATTCTTTTAAAAAAAGAGGGATTTAAAAAAATTAAACAGAAAAAATAGAATCTATTAAATTAGATCAATATCAATATTTGGGTGATTACTAAACCTTTTCAGAGGCAACACACTTCCTTTCTCCTTTTGTTTAAACATCACCACCCTGGACTCTTATTTTGAACTCTCAAAATGGCTAGGTTTGTGAGGAAGGATCACCTGGGCCATAGAATAAGGGCCAGGTTTGCTCTTTCTTTTTGTCTTTCACTTCATTCCCTCTCATCTTCCTCCTTCCTTGGAGGCTGATCTTCTCTCCCCTTTCTTGTTTTTGTTTTTCTTCCTTTTAACTGCCAAAGGGCACATGCATGCAGGAGAAAGAGAAAGAGAGAGAGAAACTTCCAATGGATGTGGTCATGCTACAATCCCTTCTGCATGGCTCCACCCTACCAGGGTTTGGATCACACACACACACACACACACACACACACATTAGCCCAGGGTGTTTTTCAAGCTGCTGGAGAGGGATTTAAACTGCTGTTGGCCACGTTTGATCCAGTATCAATGTACAGTTTTTCACCACTGTGCTATAGGACTGGAATACTCCCTCCCTCCATTTCATTGTTGTTTTTCATGAATGGGGGAGAGAGAGAGAGAGAGAGAGAGACAGGGAGATAAGTACCCCCAACAAGGTCTTCATGTTGTGATCCACCCTCTGCTTCAGCCAGTCCCAGAGCATGGGCGTGCACACACTGGAATGTCCATGGAAGTCCCTGGACTGGGCCTGGAACCTTCTCATATTGGTTAGCCTCACAGAGCTTCATGTTTTATTGGCACACTACCATCCAGATCCTACCCCTTCTTTTGAAAGCAGAGCCTATTATATAAGTGGACGTATCTATATCTCTACAGCCCTCTTTTTTTTTTTTTTTTGCAGTTGTTCTTTTTTTTAAATTTATTATCATCATAATCTTGTTTATATAACATTGAATTGCATAGAACTTTACAGTGTATTACATTGCTTTTTCAAAAGGGATTGCCACACATGTCAGTCAATACAGAGACATTATACTCCCCACTACATCATTCAATATCTTTTCATTGTTTTTTCCGATCATTATTATTATTATTCCAATTTTTTAATAGTCAATCACTATTTCTCATTTTTCTTGTAAAAAGACTTTATCCATCATGAAATACTTCTCAGACCAAACCAGTTGATAATACTATACACGTCATCATCAACAGGTAATAAGCCATATCTGTGTCCCACTAATGTCATGCCTCTCTATTTGTTCTCTTACCGTCTTTCTTTATCCTCTTCTCTTCACTTCCCCCCCCCATTCCACACTGTCTTATCCTCGTTAAGTACTTTCACTGCTTTTACATCCTCCAGTATTTCACTCTCTACCAGAGTGCGGATAGTTGGTATATATTAAGTGGATACATACAATATCTTTCTTTCATAGCCTGGCTTGCTTCACTCAGCAAAAATAAATCTTCCATATACATCCACTTTCTGTCAAAAGCCAGGATCTTGTTGGTTTTTATGGCTGAGTAGTATGCCATAGAGTATATGTGCCACAGTTTTTCAATCCATTCATCTGTTTGTGGGCATTTGAGTTATTTATCACTTTTTATATTCTTAATCTTTGCCATTCTGACAGAGGTTAGGTAGTATCTCATTGTGGTTTTTATCTGCATCTCCCTTATGATGAGGGATGTTGAGCATTTCCATATATGCTTTTTGGCTGTTTGTATGTCTTCCTTAGAGAGATTTTTGCTCAGCTCATTTTCCCATCTTTTAATTGGGTTAATCTTTTTTTTTTTTTTCACATAAGGCACTTGAGTTCCCTGTGTATTCTGGTTATGTGTCCCTTGTCTGAGACATATTTAACAAAAATATTTTCCCATTCTGAGGGTTGTTGGTTCACACTTGTTACTGTGTCCTTTGCTGTGCAGAAACTTCTTAGTTTGATATAATCCCACTTGTCTATTTTAGGGATTATTGCTTGTACTTTGGGAGTCTTATTTAAGAAGTCTTTGCCTACTCCAATGTCTTCCAGAGTTTTTCCAGCATTTTCCACCAGTGGTTTTATTGTTTGAGGTCCTAGGTTCAGATCTTTGATCCATTTTGAGTTGATTTTTGTTCATGGTGAAAGATGGGGGTTCAGTTTCATCTTTCTGCAGGTGGATACCTAGTTTTTGCAGCACCATTTACTAAAGAGGTTTTCCTTTTCCCAATGGATTGACTGAAAACCTTTGTCAAAAATCAGTTGGCTGTAAGCTTTGAGGGTTATTTCTGGGGTGTCTATTCTATTCCATTGGCCCACATGTCTGTTTTTGTGCCAATATCATGCTGTTTTGATGATCACAGATTTATAGTATATCTTGGGATCAGAGAGTGATAAAAATATGGAATGCTTCATGAATTTGCATGTCATCCTTGCACAGGGGGGATGCTAATCTTCTCTGTATCATTCCAATTTTAGTATATGTGCTGCCGAAGCGAGCACTCTACAGCCCTCTTGAGCCAAATTTTTCACTTGGGAAAAGTCACCCCCACCTTAGAAAGAATACTAGAAAAAATTTTGACATCTAGCATCTGTATGGTAGAAAAAGTTTTGAAAAACATTGCTTTAAGTAGCTTTTATTATAATATGGGCCTTTTTGTTGAATTACCTAGAGTCAATACAGGTATCATTTCTTCTGGATTGCTGACTGGGTAGCTCTAGTTCATTATTTGGAAAATGGGAATAAATATCTATTTCATACAGGTCTTTTGAGGATTTAATGAAATAATTAATGTATCAATCTCATTATTCAAGTATTGATTTTTTTTAAGTCAGATACAAGATTGCATACAGTAATAGATGAGAGTATTTTTAGTGTTTTTATTTGTTTATTGAGAGGAGGGAGAGTGAATGAGATACCCTCAACAAGGTCTTCATGCTAAGATCCACCCTCACCCCCAACCTTAGCCAGCCTGGATCATGGGCATGTACCACCTACAAGCATGTACAGGGAGACCTTGGGATGCAAAATGAGGACCTTTCCAAGTGCTTCAGCATGGCAGAGTGTTGTGTTACTGCTGTACCACTGTGGCTGGTTTGGAAAAGATCATTTTTTTGTTTGTTTTTGTATTTTAATTTTGCCAGAGGGCTCATGTGCTCACTTGAGAGAGACAAAGAGAAAGAAAGTGAGAAAGCACCTCCATAGGGCATGGTCATGCCATAATCCCTTTTCCTCCATTTATCCCTCCCTTTGGGATTTTGGGCACACATGCACACACTTTCAGTGTGGTATTTGAGCTACCACATCTGGACCTTGAACTATATTGTTACATCTGCCTTAACTGCCACACCACTACCACCAACTGGCCTAAAAAAGATGTTTTTTTGTTTTGTTTTGTTTTTTTTTTTTTTGACAGAGATTTTTTCGCTATAGGGCGCGTGCGCTCGCCAGACAGACAGAGAGAGACAGAGAGACAGAAAGCGAGAAATCACCCCCCAGGGGGGATGGGCAAGCCGCAATCCCTTA